TCGGGGTCCATATCCCTGCACAGGCAGATACTCTTACCTGTCAGTCCCGAGCTGGCCTTTGTTGGGTCCTGACCTCCTCAACCGGACTGGCGCTGCTGGGCCCCGGCCTCCTCCACCTCCAGAATGGCACTGCTTGGCCCCCAGCCTCTCCCACCACTGGACCAGTGCTGCTGGGCCCCCCATGCTCAGCATGTTCGGCCGACCCGAAGTGCAGAAGGAGTTCGACTCAGTCGATCCAACATCTGGATCGGCTGAGCCGAACCTCCGGCAGGCTACTCGCTGCTGTTCGGTCTATTCTTATACCGTGTTTCCCCGAAAATAAGACACTGTCTTATATTTTTTTTGGCTCAAAAAAAACACACTAGGTCTTATTTTTGGGGAAGGTCTTATTTTTTTTTTTAATGTACAACAATCCACACTTATTCATGTAGAAAAGTCTACATGTTTTCATGTACAAAAATATGGTGATCAGGGCAATCAGGGGTGCCGTACCTTTCGAAGAGAAATTTGCCATCCAATCGCTGGCCAGAATGAGCGAAGTGCACTTTTACTATTGATTCCTCACAGGCGTAGTGCATTTGGTATGACTTCGCCTGTGATAGGAACCGGCGCTATAGAGGAAGCATCGGCTTCTGCGCGTCTGCTCCCTCCGCTGCCGCCTCGCTTCCTCTAGCGCTGGCTTCGTTGGCACAGCTGATTCTCTCCTGCCTCTCCCATAGCTCTTCAAGTTCCCCCTTATGCCACCACCGGCCATGGGAATGGTAACAACTAGGTCGTATTTTCGGGGTAGGTCTTATATTTTAGCAATTCCCAAAAATAGTACTAGGTCTTATTTTCGGGGTAGGTCTTATTTTCGGGGAAACAGGGTAGATGCCGAACAGCAGTGAGTGAATAGCCGAATGTGGCCGAGCGGCATTCGGCTTGGCTGTTCTGCTCGGTTGTTCTGCTCGGTCTCTCTGTGGGACAGAGCAGAACAGAACAACAGTTAAAAAAGTAGAGAAATAAAAATAGAAAACTATTGTGCGGAGCTAGCAATGACAGCTAGCTCCGCCCAACAGTTTTCTATGGCCGGCGGTTCTGCTGCCGTCAAAAAAAAGAAAGAAAAAAAGCCTGCCCTCTGCAGCTCTCAATCCTGATGGTGGACCTGATGGAGAACTGCAGCAGAGGGCAGGTGCAATGCTAGTTTGCTATTGGCTATTGCAAATTGAAGAAGCTAATAGGAATCTAGCAATGCATTCCTATGGCATGGCTCCGTGTCAGAATAAGAAATGTTCACACCTAGGCGTATCGAATATGCGCGACAAACGCGCGTTTCCGAGGGCTACCTGGCTGTATCCCAATGGATACGCGCGGCAAATACGCCCCAGAGAAGCTCCTGTACTTCTTTGGGCGTAGGGAGTTTTGCAGCGCGTTGCTACGCGCTGTAAAACGCCCAGGTGGGAACAATGCCCATAGGCAATCATTGGTTTTCACATGTTTAGCGTTTTACAGAGCGCAGGAACGCGTTGTAAAATGCCCAGGTGTGAACCAGGCCTAATTCTAATGACAGCTGGTCCCGGCCAATAGAAAATAGTTGGGCGGACTAGCTCCGCCCAATTGTTTTCTACTTTTATTTTTTTCTACTTTTTTAACTGTTTTTCTATTCTGCTGGGTACCACAGAGGTACCCAGCAGAATAGCCGAGCCGAATGCCTCTCAGCGGCATTCGACTATTCACTCACTGCTGTTGGGCATCTATGAGAATAGGCCGAACAGCAGCGAGTAGCCTGCCGTAGGTTCGGCTCAGCCGATCCAGATGTTGGATCGACTGAGTCGAACTCCTTCTGCACTTCGGGTCGACCGAACATGCTGAGCATGTTTGGCCAACCCGAAGCCACCTGATGTACGGCTGATTTCAGCCGATATACGGCTGAAATCAGCCGTGCAAGCCTGAAGTGAATAGCCGAACATTGTTCGGCTCACTTCACTTTGGGTCGGTTATTCACTCGGCTGCCTACGGCAGCTTTGTGAATAGACCCCATAGAATGTGGAAGACAATATCACCCAAAAAAAATACCATCTCTGGAAAAAATTAATCTTTGGTAACATAACTAACAAAGATATTGGTGAAATAATAGGCCCATAGCTGAAATGTGAAAGTGGCTTTAGAACTCAGCTGGTTAAAGTGAACATAAACTTTCACATAAGGTAACAACTATATGGTAGCCCACCACCCCTTTCAAAATCACTAAGTCAAAGCAAACAAAACAAATGTATATACCTTAGACCTAAATTTATAGCCAGGTAATTATCTTTTTTTCCCCCTAAATTTGTTTTGCTTTGTTTTCACCTAGTGATTTTGCAAGTGGGAGTGGGGAGACTACCATTTAGTTGTAATTTAGTTTTATGTGAAAGCTTTAAGAACAATGTTTACAAATCCACATCCTGTCTGTTAAGAGTTACAAGAAAATGGTGAACTAATGTGTATGCTTGTGGCCATAGCAACCAATACAAATTATGCACTTCCTGACCTCTGAACTGTGACGAGGTTTTCTAATGTGCCAGCCCCCTCCCTATAAGGCCCCATTCACACTGCGCGATTTGCATTTTGCGCGATATCGCGCGATTTGTTGCGCAATATCGCACAAATGCTTGCATTGGGCAAGCTGGAATCGCGGCAAAATCGGCTCCAAAAAGGGTCCTGCTGTAGCGACACACGACCCGCGACAGCAGGACCCTTTGCCCCATTGCAAAGCATTGAAGAGCGATATCGCGCGGTAATTACCGCACGATAAATCGCTCAATGTGAACGGGGCCTAAATGTGAGGATTCCCAGCAGCCTTTGTTCAGTGTCTGTTGTAGGTGGAAAGGTGTATTTAGGGGGAGACCACAGACTGCAGGGAAGGCTAGATACTACTGCTGGTGCTGATTGCTGAAAACATTTATCTGTTACATTGAATCACAGGCAAACTAACTGATCTTTCCCTGTTACTGCGTTACTATGCTTTGTTCTGCACAATGGGGTTGATTTATTAAAGAACAAGAGCATGTTTATTTTGCAAGGGAATTTTTGTTTGCAAGGGAATTTTCACTTAGTAAATGTGTGGGAGCTGTGCTGACTTGAGTCATCCAAACATGTGCAAGCACAATTTTGTTTTTTAATTTTTCTTCCATTCGATTGCGTATTCTTTGCAAAATAAATTATCATAATATAAGCTGAGTGAAAATTTCCTTTTAAAGTGAACATCCTATATACCTTTAGTAAATCAACTAGGGATGCACCGATACCAAGTACAGTACTCGGTACAAGTACAAGTACATGTACCAATACTTTTCGAGCTCCAAGACTAGACTAGAGAAAAATTCAAAAGTTAGGAGGCAGCTGTCATTTGTGAGGACCATACGGAGCTCCTGGGATTTGGACATCTCTGTTTTAATGTATGATTTTGTTTTTCTTGTTTTTATAAATCTTGTTTTTTATAAATGTTTAGAGGAGTGCACTATTTTAGAAAGACAATAGCCATATTTTTTATTGCCAAAGCAGTGGAATAGACCACAAACTATGAAACACAGAGCATAATTTACGCTGCAGAAAACTTTATAGATTTTGCAGTTAAGGACCAGCTGTGGAATCAATATGTGTAGCACATTTATAGTACCTTATCAACAGAATATACTGGAAACTTTGAAGCACAAAGTGCATAATTTTTTTTCCCAAGTTTGCAGAAAGAGGTCCAGTTGCAGAAAAATGTGTGTGTCATCTTTGTAGTGCCAAAGCACAAGAACTGGGCATTAAAAATAACAAATGTTGATAATGTGACAGCTAGCTCCGCCCAATAGTTCCCTATTGTCCGGCGGCTTTGCTGCTGTAAAAAAAAAAAAAAATAGATCACGGCTGGCTACGCCCAGCTGTCAGAAGCAGGCTGTCGGCCGGCCCAAGGCCGGCCGCTCGGCCAGCTTCGGCTTTCAGCACGGCTCAGCCGAGCCGATGCATATGCGTTCGGCTCGGCTGAGCCGCTCGGCCATGATCGGGAGCTGTACGGGCTATTTTGAATAGCCCGTACAGCACCCCTTCGGTTCTACTGAACCGAAGGGGTCCTGGGGCCGAAGCTAGCCGAAGGATCGGCCTAAGCTACGGCCAGATCCTTCGGCAGCTTCGTGAATAGACCCCTTAGTTATTTTGTGTTTTCATTGTAATTTATTTTAATTACTTTTCAGAGATCTATTATGATTTTGAATTATCTATTTTTGTTGATCAGTGTAAACAAAAAAGATAAATTCACTGTGATTTGATCTTCTATTACAAGAAAACTAAACATGAAAAAACGTCTACAGTGGTGCATACTTTTATGGACACTGTAGTGTTCTAGTAGTGTGTCTCTGCCCCGATTTTCAAGTAGTTTTGGTATGTATTTGTTTTATTTGAAGCCTTCATTTTTCATCCTTATTTTTTATTTGGTTTGTTTATGCTTAAAGTGATACTAAACTCAGAAGTTAAATCTTAAATATTCATTCAAGTACCACTATTAACAAACATGTAGCTTATTTGTGCATTGTTTAGCTGTAGATCTTTGAATCATCTCTGAATTCATGCTGACACTGTCCTTCCTTCTGGATGTGGCTACTTTTGTTCTCCATGGTCTCTATGTGTGTTGTAAAGTAGCCACTACTCCAAGCTTGCTCCCGTGATGGACTACACTTTCAATACAAATTAGATACCTAAACATGAGATTGTGGTCCATCACCGGAGCAAGCTTGGGGTGGTGGCTAGTTTACAACACACATAGGGAGCATAGGGAACAAAAGTAGCCACCCTCCAGAAGAACGAACAGTTTCAGCACAAATTCAGAGATGATTTCAGGATCTACAGCTGTGATACACAAATTAGTTAAATTTTTGTTAATAGTTAAGGTATCTGAATGCATTTTTAAGATTTAACTTTAAACATCAAATAATGTAAAAAAAATATATTAAGCAATATATGTGATATAGTCATATTAACGTTGGCAATTTTTGCTACAGGAGATGACTGAAAATGACATGCAGAAGTTTCCCAAAGTAAGAGTACCGTAAGTACATTCCTACATATTAAAATCACAAAAGTCATCATATGTGAGGCTTTACCCTCTTTTATTACTATTTGCTTACTTTTTCTTACTTTGTAGTTATTACTGAAGCTTTCAAATTCATATTTATAAGGAGTGTGGGAGGATAAAAAAAAATACAGATGTCCATCTAGCAGTCTACGTTTTGATTCCTTAGTGAGTCAGCTGGTGCATGTTGGTCTCTAAAGGTGCCCATACACCTGCCGATTATCATACGATATTCTTGGGTGATCCTGCAATCGTGCAATAATCGGCAGGTGTATGGAAGGCGTGCGACTGTTTCTACTGTACAGTCGCACGTCTTTTGACTTCAGAGCTGGAAAACCTGTCGAAAATCGTAAGATTTTCTTCGGGTTAGTGGCGTGCTCGGAAGACAAATGCTGAACGGGCCGGTGTGCGCTAGCGCACACTGCCCGCTCAGCATTGCAGTCATCGGAAGCCCTCCCCTCAGCAGGGCGGGCTTGCGATGATCTCAAGTACGATCTGCCTGTCCAAGATGGGCAGATCGTACAAGCTTTTAATTACCTTACAACCATCGCAAGATGAAAGTCGTGCGATGGTTGTAAGGTGTATGACCAGCTTAAGGGTTAAGGTAAAAAATCAATGTATTTCCCTACCCTTAATATTAAGGACAGAATTCCACTAATAATCAGCCAATTTTTGTTAATAATAAAGATTTTTTTTCTTGCATATAGTGCGCTATATGTAAATTGGGGAAATAAGAGTGGGGCAAAAATAATTATTTTATTTTTAGCAATGCAAAGACAAAATGTCAGGAAGAGAATTTTATTACATCCAGTTCCATATTTGTATTGTTTTTGCTCCAGTGCCTGTGTGGTCTGCAATATATATGTAGGACCCTATTGGCACTACCGGTTCCTTTGAGAGTGCACATACTGTATATAATATCAGAAAATAATTTAGGGGTCATAGGCTGTCTTTACACTTATTAATAACAAGGGGTACCCAAGGGGTATAAAGTTTATTGGTATAGATAAACTAACCTCCCATTGCTGGGATGGCAATAGAAAAAGGGCTTTAAAAAATTTAATATCCAGGGGAATCCAGGCAGTCCCAGAGTTACAAACATCCAACTTACGCACGACTCGTACTTACAAATGGAGGCTGTTACTGTACAGCAGGAGGTCCCAAGCTGCAGGCCAAAGTGTACCGTCCAGCATTCCAGTAGTTGTAATGCTACTGCCCTCATGTCGACAAGGGGTGCCCGCCTTTTTTGGGTCTGGTTCATAGTACTGTATGTACATTACAGGAAGTTGGCTCTTGTTAGATGTGCAGACAAGCGGTGCCCGCCTCTTCTTCTGGGTCACTGTGAGCTTTTATCACAAATCCTCATTTCCACGACAACCCAAAATTTTCAAAATCTAATTGTCACAGGAACAGAAAGTGAGGTCAAATCTTCTGAACGGGGCACAAACAGCAAAACAAACGTTACAGGGTGTTAACCTTTCCCTATGCTATCCAAAACTAAAAAAGTTTTTTTTTGATGGAGTTAGTTACACTTACAAAATGTTCCTGTTCCAACTTACATACAAATTCAACTCATGAACAAACCTACAGAACCTATATTGTACGTAACCCGGGGACTGCCTTATACAAATTGCGTTCATATATTCCCAACATGTTTTGGGATGTTATATGTTTTAGTGACAATAAATAGATATTTAGTTTTTACTCTTTATTTTTATTGGGAGTTTAATCTCTTGTGATAGGATTGGCATGTAATAAATAATAAGTATGTATATGTTGTTCTATTTAGAGGGAATGTACTGTCTACATAGAGTACTAGGGCTTATTGGTGTTATAACTGTTAATAATGTCATGTGAGATATTTATAGGGGTATATATTTATAGAAAAATACTAGGCTCTGTTTGTTGTTATGTATTTGTGTTATAAGTTGTTTCTTAATGGAGTGTGGTGGCGATCTTCTGAGGGAGGTATTTGATTTATTCATCCTTCCTGTTAAGATAGTGCACCTGCCCCCTCTTTTGCATTTAAATGATGTTGGTGTAATCCAGTGTCTGTGGGCCCTGAGGAATGGCCAATTGGGATGAAATGTGCAGAGCTGGGTTTCGGACACTCATGTGATCATGCTACTAGATTGTATCCAATCAGTGGGTTTTTGTACAGGAATAGTGCAGTTTTGGTTTGCCAATAGTAGTTTTTTCATTGCTTTTAAAAAGTACCAGACAATCTGTACCATTTGGATCCCTTTTATTTATTTTTCAAAGGACTTCTGAAGGAAAGTGGATGATATTGGGAGAACAGTTCTGGTGATTTATGGTTCCAATGTTCCAGTTAATTCTGTACGGGGATTGAACCATGCACAAGCACATTTTGACCTCTAACATTTGGGGCCCTGTCACAGTTCCTTGTGCATTGATCCTCCACTGGGTTTTGCCCCCTGTCTGAGGTTCCTCGGATTCCTGCCAATCTGATTTGAACCTCTGTGTTAAAAAGCCAGTTCACCTGTTGGTCAGCGTTCGAGCAACAAGTCCGTTTTGTGCCTCTGGACCCTCTTGTGTTCCACGTGATCTACCCCTTAGTTCTTGGAGATTTACTATGTTCCCTAGTTCTCCTGTTTTCCTAGTGTACCACCATGGATTTCCTGCTTGGTTGCATTTCCCCTTTCTGTGTTCCTATTTACGCTCAGTCTCTTGTGATTCCCTGTGGAAGTCACTGCGCATTCACCTGGGTGCTGTGAGTGGCCATACTTGCCTGTCTGCTGTATTGCTTCTGTGTGCCCTCTCTACACTTCAGTGTTTCTGCTTTTCCTATTTGCCCTGCTCTCTCTGAGTCAGGCTGCTCTGTGTTCCTCTTTGCTGTAGTAGTTCTTTGCTATCCTAATACCTGTTTTCACATTATCCAGTGGTACCTTTTCCCAGTCTTGCACTGTGACTTGTACCTTGGTATTTCACACTCTTCCTGTGTTATACACCTCTTGTGGACTTTGCCTTCCTTGTGTATTTCTCCCTGCATGCTTATCTTCACCCTCCGTAAGCCATTTTCTGTCTTCCTTGAGCCCTCCTGTGTGTAATTCTCATTCAGCTCAGCTTCTGTGTAACGCACAATCCTTGTGCGTTACAAAAGGATTGTGCTCCCTGTCCAGTGCCTGCACGGGTGTGTTAGGGAGTTGTCCTGCAGCATAACATCCTTAACATCAGAGGCTCTGGCAAAGACCTAGCTTAGATTCTGCGCCTCTGGCACACCCACGTTTCTGGTGTTTAGACTCTGTCCCTGGCTGCCTGTGTTTAGCGTATCCTGCATCTAGTCACTCTCTGAGACCCGCGTCCCAGACCTGATTCCTGTTCCAGCTAGTTCCAGACTGCTCCGCAAAACCCAAAACCCACTTACCCCAGTGCCCCGGTTCACAGACCGTGACAGGCTCAACCTTCTGGTAAGCACCTTCAATCTGCAGTGGTAGTGGATGTCTACACTTTAGGGCTGCGTAAATTAAAGATTAATTCCTCGATTAGGCGTTAATTTTTTTGATCAATTACAATTTTTTTGACCGGTACTCACCTCTCTGCCGGCTTCTGTGTCTTCCGGAAGTTCCGTCGGAGACCCGGTGACGTCACAGACATCGACGTCACCGGACTCCTCCCCCCCTTCCCCAAGTGGCTCCATCGGCTAACGAAGGGAAGAGGGG